GTCGGATTGGACTCTGATCAGAAAACATTCAGGATTTTGTTTTCTGTTGCTTTATTTCCGTTGTTTTCAGATTCATAAAATAAAACTTTGGTTCTCCTCTTCTATCAGAACAGGACACGTTCATATCAACACCTGTTGCCATGGTAACACACCTGGTTGGTGTCAGGAAGTCTCAGTTCTGGGTTTGTTTCTGATCCGGTCAGCCCGCTGGTCCGGTCTGAGTCGTCCTCCATGTCCATCCAGAAGACGGCGTCTCTCAAGATGGGTCCAGCTGTCCAGAGGTTCTGGCCCGGTCCGGATCTGGAATGGAACAGACGGGTCAGCCAGAGGAACCTGGAGGTAAAACTGGACTGCTTCCAGTCTAACCAGCATTTAAATCCACTAGGACCAGTACAGACCACTGGAGCGCCTGTCACTGGGAAACCACGGCAACAGCACTGACAGATTTAAATACATTTGTTTGCAGCCATCTAGTCCAGGAAGTAATCTGACACCAAACAAAGTCAACATCTGACATTTACAGCTGAACACCCAGTCCAAACTGGTTCCTACTGGTGTGAAACCAGTGGATGGTTCCTGGTGTGACACAGACACTTTGTTTTATTGTTTTATAGAGAGAAGATGGATCAGCTGGGAAGAGGAAGTTTATGGAGATTTTCCCCACAGGTGGATTTAGTGCTCTTATTTGGATCAACCAGTCTGGGTCCAGTGAGGTCACAGGGTCAGAACCGACCTCCTGGTTCTGGACTCCAGGTTGTGTTGCTGCTACCAGCAGCAGGTAAAGCAGAGGGCGTGTCATGCTGAGGGTGTGGTTTCATTGAGCTGCAGGTGGGCGGGGCCTCCTGTCAGGTACAGTCAGGATGTTCAGCAGGAAGTAAGAGTTTTAAATCAAAGATAAACAGCAAAAATTTCATTTAGGTTATATAACCTGTGAGAGAAAACAAAACAGATAAATTTTCAGTTGTATTTTCACCACCAAATGTTTAGCTTCAAACTAAATGTTCAACTCAGGAGCTAAACTCTTAGCTCACTGGCTAAATGAAGAATAAGAATTGTATGAAAGTTTTTGTTCTACTCTTGTTGAGAAGTGTTCATAAAGCTGTCACTGTGATTTTCACATTTATGACACCAAAATGTTTCTCATTAGCTCCAAGACAGCATGTTTGAAATAAATTGTAATAGGAAGCAATGCTCTGATTAAAGTTAAAATTTGAACTTGTTTCTTTTTAAACCGGCTGTGTGATGCGTTCAGGGAACCCAGAGACATTAAGATGTGTTTCAGTTTCCTCTACAGACCGCAGAGTTTTTCCTCTGACTGGTTTAATCTGTGACGATGTGCAGCCAGACTCTGGATAAATGTAATAATTAACCATGAAGACGGTTCATGGTTCAGCAAACATGGATGAAGTTATTAGAGTTTTAAAACTTAAAGGAGGTTATTTAGCTTCACAGAGACATGAAGTTTGGATCATGTGACCTGTGTGTGGTTTAACCAGACTGATCCACTTCCTGTTCCTGAGCCAATCGGACCTGCTTACAGTTGGAACCGGGTCGAGCTCCGTTTGCAGCAGAATGTCAGAACCTCTGTCTGGATCCAAAGAGGAAGGAAAACATGGAAGTGAGACCGTCTGTGGGAAGAAGTGAGGAAAGGTTCTGGTCTGCTGATCGAGTTCGGACCAGAAACTGCTGAGGAAGACGACCTCAGTATTTCATCAGCAGGAACAGAACCAGAACCGTCTCTGGTAGATCTCCATCCACCAGGAAGAACCAGCAGCTCCTCCAGAACCAGCATGTCCTGACTGGACCTCTGACTGGGAACCAGAACCAACCAGAACCATCTGGACCACCTGACCCGGTTCTACCTCTGCTGGTTGGTTCTGATCCAGAGTCATGAAAACGACCCAGACCTGCTTAAAGTTTATATCAAGTTCAGAGACGACAGAGCTCCATCCCATGGTAACTAGCATAAGCTAATGCTAAAACACTACGCCAACACAAAGAAAGCTAATGCTAAAGCGCTGCAACAACATGGTATTAGCACAAGCTAATGCTAACGTGGCACTTTGAAAGCTTTCAAAAAGTTACTCAGATAACTCAGTAACTAGTTACTTCCTGCTCTGCAGATGTTAAAGAGTAGAAATGAAGGGATGAAGGGAGATTTTAACTAATCAGATTAAAGCTGAACTGTTTTGACTCCGTCGTGTCTCGTGGCGATGCTGAACCCGAATCCTCTCAGAACCATCAGCTTACTGACATCTCTGGAAACCCGACGCCCAGAAATGAATAAAAACGTTTCCAGAGTTTCTGTGGCTCTGCCTCCAGAGCGCCATCAGCTGACTGGGGGCGGGGCCAGTCAGGAAACGATCCAGAACCAGAACTGGTCCTGGAGTCACAACAACAACAACCAGCATGCTGTTCATCTGTGTGACGGTCAGAACCAGCAGAAAGCAGCTGGTTCACCAGTCCGACCGGGTCAGCAGGAACACAGAGAACACATTCCTCTGGAGACTCAGATACAGATCATCTTCATCATTATCTTCTTCATCATGATGAAGATGATTAGCTTCATCATCTTCATGAATATCATCATCTTCCTCCTTCCCAACCACAAATCCAGCATAAATTAGGACAAAACTACAACTTTTAAATCCAGTGTTTTTTGGTTTGTGAAAACATTTGAGCCGAGGAATTTGGATCCTGATCTGAAGGAACGAGATTATGGGTTAGATGTTCCACCTACAGTTGCTGATGTTCTGATGCAGATGCCATGGGACAAGTTGGGACAAGTTGGGACAAGTTGGACAGGAATATCTACTGACTGACTGAAGAAATATTCTCTGTAAAACAGACGGAGCTCTGCTGTCATCAGGACTACATTAATCTGTCAGATTACTGAGGACGGTTTGTTTTATTTATTTTGCTACAACAAAGTATGAGATCCACACAAAGAGATAAAAAATAAATAAAATGAAGGAAACAAACTCCTGAAAATGTGCCAAATTACCTGAACAAAGTCTTGCTGCTGATGTGTTAAAAGATTAAACATTTCATATCCCTCTGATTTATTCTCGTATCATTACCAGTTTATTATTATATTATATTTTCTCAGCCTCATTGCTCAGCGTTCTCAAAAACATTCATCCCTCATTCAGTCCGAACAGGAAAGGTTCTGATTGGACCGTTTCTCAGTCAGCCCTGTTCCCTCCTGGGACCAGAACCCGAACTGGGTCCGACAGAACCTGCTCCAGAACTCGTCAGACACTTTTCTAGAATAAATTTGATTTCATGATTAAAATCTTGAACGAAACACACAGATAACAACGGAATATGGATCAGAACCGAGCAGCAAACATCTAAACCTGTTTCTCCAGAACAGCAGCTTTAAAATCAACGATCCGAACCGAACAGAACCTCTTCACAAGTCAAGATCCAACATTTCAGCAAAAGCAGCTTCAGAACCAAAGTTCTGGTTGTGTTTGCTCACCAGAACTGCGCTACAGTTTTATTCTCCGCAAAATCAGAAGGAAATCAGACACCAACCTTTGAAGGAGAGATAATGGAGCCCTCCAGAACCAGAACCAGGAACAGAACCAGAGTCCTTCTGGCCGCTGAAGAAGTAAAGCAGCCCAGCTGATTGTCCCTCCGTCATCCGTCCTCAGCTGATTGTCCCTCCCTCATCCTAACAGGTGTGTCGTTGGATGCAGACCTTTGAATGCCTCCATCTAGTGGACAGAAGTTGGAGCTGCAGCATCTGAAAACAAAATACCCCCAACACCCCCAAAAACATTATCTAAAACTGGTCCATTCTGCAGATTGTGCCAGTTTTCTTTTAGCTTCTTAAGCTGATTTTATACAGTAATAGAAATAGATGAAAATACAAATTATTACATTTCTTTTCTAAATAAGAACATGCCTAAAATGCTAAAGCCTCAGGGCTAGCAGGGCCATCCCTGCTGCTAGCCCTAGAAAATTGAAAAGAAAAGGTGTAAAATGTCTTAATTATATTTAATTTTATTTATAATTTATTTTTTATTCTACAAATGAGTTGTTTTTGGTATTATTGGAGATTCACTTTAATTTCCTACTTTACAAAGTGCCTTAAATGCCTCAGGACATGCAGGTGACCCTTTGGTCAAAAATGCCGCAACAGGCCGTAGAAAAGCCACATCAAATCTGGACGCACTAAAACAGACCAGTAAGAACTTTATGAGGCATTTTAAAGACTTTAACTATGAGCGCTACGAGAGGCTAACAGCTAGCACTTAGCACAGCAAGCTGGTTTGCTGGCCGTGACAGACGCATGGATTTTATTTACAAGTAATGGGGTGAGTGTTACTTTTCTATTAAGCTAACTATTTAACATGGTGTCTAAATGAGCCGAATATAAAGAACACGCTTTTACCACAATGAGGTTAAACTCTAATAACTTCATTAATGTTTGCTCAACCATAAATATAGAGGAACCAAAATTAATTTATTTTAAACATGCCTTCTAGGAGCAAATAAGAAACATTTTAATGTCATAAATGTGAACGGTGACAGCCTGATAAACACTTCTCAATAAGAGTAAAGCATCTCTGAATGTCAAAACCTTGCACAGAACTCTTATTCTTCAGCATTGGCTAGTGCGCTAAATGTTTAGTTAAATATTTAGCTTGGAGTTAAACATTTGGTGGTGAAAATACGACTGAAGAATGATCCTCATTTTTTTCACTGACAGGTTATATAACCTAAATTAAATTATTGCTGTTAATCTTTAATTTGTAACTCTGTTACTTCAGAGGTTTGCTTTGGAAAGTTGCCATCAGTTTTCAGCTATGTCCTGCTGAACATCCTCAGGTAAATAACTCTACCTGACAGGAAGCCCCGCCCCCCTGCTCAGGTTACTGACTACCTGACAGGAAGCCCCGCCCCCCTGCTCAGGTTACTGACTACCTGACAGGAAGCCCCGCCCCCCTGCTCAGGTTACTGACTACCTGACAGGAAGCCCCGCCCCCCTGCAGAGCAATGAAACCAGACCCTCAGCATGACATGCCCTCTGCTTTACCTGCTGCTGGTGGCAGCAACACAACCTGGAGTCCAGAACCAGGAGGTCGGTTCCGACCCAATGACCCCACTGGTCCCAGACCAGTAGGAACCAGTCCAGACTGGTTGATCCAGTTGTTCTAAATCCACCTGTGGGAAAATCTCCATAAACTTCCTCTTCTCAGCTGATCCTTCTTCTCTCTATAAAACGATAAAACAAAGTGTCTGTTGGAATAGACAAAACTTTCAGTTTCTTACAGTCGAGGCTCTTATGTAACATTAACTGAACTATTTGCTGCAGGAAAGTGCTGGACAACAACCAGTAAAACAAGCAGAAATAACAATAGTAGTATAAACAAAGTAATTTAAATCTCATTTAAAGTAGAGATAAATCATGTTGTCAGGCTGGAATGAAAGTGATTGTTTAGAAGTAGAACATCTGAAAGCATCTGGTTGTTTGGCCTCAGTGTTCCAGATGAAGAATGAAGACATCCTGAAGATGGAGCTTTAAAAACTAATAAAAGTATAAAATAAATTCAACAAGAGGTGGGATCTACAGATCTATAACCAGCGTTACAGCTGTCATGAACAGGCCCAGTACATTTTATTTACAACTATCTCATGGTTATGCGCCCCCTTTGAATTGCTGCCCTGGGGTAACCGCCTATGTGGCAGATTTCAGAAACCACCACTGCCTGAAGCAGATTTATTAGATTCATAATACTAAAGATGTATCATCCTTGAAGCAGTGATCAGTAAGGGATCAAATGTGGCGAAGAGTGAGGATATAAACTAGAAATAACAGCAGCACCAAAACAGAACCCTGAGGAACACCACATGAAACCTCATTTCACCACCATCAACATGTTTCATGTTTAGAAGCTAGCTGAACAGCTAGAGTGCTAGTTTTAAAGGAAGGTATAAAAAGTCTCTGAAGAAGCCTCAGGTCACCAAAATGGGCGGAGCCACAGGAGGAAGTGGCCCCGGCTCTTCCTGTAGTAGCTGGATGGATTTCTGCTAACAGAAACCAGGAGATCATCAGCTGAGACAACTGGAGACGACCTGGGAACATGAGGAGCCACAAAACCAGCAAGATG